CTTAGTGAGAATGCTTTGCAAGGGGGGGGCAGCAAATTACCTGGTTCCAATGTTAAGGGGCCTCTTCCTCTTATCTAGTCCCCCAAAAAGGATTTGACAGTTTGTGAGAGAGGGATCTTATAGGAATATGGAAGCTCTCTTTAAACATGGGAACCCCTAGATATCCACCCACTCCAAGGGAAATGGGTACAGGGGTACAGTATTACCTTTTAGTGAGAATGCCTTGCAAGGGGGGGGACAGAGTAGCAAAGGCACCTGGTCCCAATGTTGAGGGACCTCTTCCCCACATCCGATCCCTCAAAAAGGATGTGTGAGGATTATGAGAGGAAGGACTTATGGGAATATGGAAGCTTTCTTTATAATATGGATGCCTCTAGAAATCCACCCCCTCCCAGGGAAATCGGTACAGGGGTACAGTATTACCCCTTAGTGAGAATGCTTTGCAGATGGGGGGGGGGGACAAATTACCTTGTTCCAATGTTAAGGGGCCTCTTCCTCTCATCTGGTCCCCCAAAAAGGATTTGGCAGTTTGTGAGAGAGGGATCTTATAGGAATATGAAAGCTATCTTTAAACATGGGAACCCTTAGATATTCAACCACTCCAAGGGAAATGGGTACAGGGGTACAGTATTACCCCTTAGTGAGAATGCCTTGCAAAGGGGGGGACAGAGTAGCAAAGGCACCTGGTCCCACTGTTGAGGGACCTCTTCCCCACATCTGGTCCCTCAAAAAGGACGTGAGGGTTTGTGAGAGGAATATGGAAGCTCTCTTTATAACATGGAGGCCCCTAGATATGCACCCATCCAAGGGAAATGGGTACACGGGGGACAGTATTACCCCTAGTGAGAATGCCTTGCAAAGGGGGAATGTGGCAGCAAAGGAACCTTTTCCCAATGTTAAGGGACCTCTTTCCCACATCTGATCCCCCAAAAAGAATGGGGGCGGGTTTTGCGACAAGGAGACATGGGGGCCCCTGGATATGCACCCCCTTCCAGTGAAAAGGGTACAGAGGTACAGTCTTGCCCCTTGTTACTCAATCCCAAAAAGTGAAATGTAACCCCTTCCCGCACAACCCCGGTGTCCCTTCAACTGGGCTATTATGCCTGGGGGGCGGGTTTGGAAGGACTGCCTGATCCCATGACCACTGCGAGTGGCTGTCAAAGTGTTCACATGATCAGGAGACGACGGGACACTGCTATAGACTGGGAACTGTCTTTGACAGCTCATTCAGCACCCTCAACACAGAAGCTACTGCCTCCCATGAACCCATGGACGCATACGTGCTACGTGTGGGTGTTAAAGCTCTTTGCCTCCTCAGCCATGCGTTACGTGGATGGCAAAAGGTCAATAACCATACATAATTTAAAAAAAAATTTAAATAATGTCCTCCAGTGTAAATCCATTATTGATCACATCATCTAATGATGGTGAATCCATCGTTCATTATGTCACTCCATAGCTGTAGATCCTCATCAAGCATGATGATCTGTCTCCCAAGGGGTTTCATGACCACGTATGGTTAACCGCTTGCCACCTGCCCACACTAAATGTCCCTGGACGTCACCATCCACTTCCACACGTGTACCCTTCAGGCTTCAGCCAATGATTTTGGCTGTATATTCTGCTGATCGGCTGTGGCCAATCACAGCACAGGGTTCTGTGTTCCCAAACACACAGTACTCTGTACTGTATTGCGATCTGGCTGTTTCTTCTCCCTGGAATCAACTGAGTTCAGGGAGGAAAAAAGCAGCCAGATCTGCGAGTAAAAGCAGCAAGCATTCCGCACTGTAGGCACACGGTTAACCCCTTGATTGCCCCTTGATGTTAACCCCATCCTGGCCAGTATCATTAGTAGTCCTCATGCACACTGGCCGTTTAAAAAAACCGTCGGTAGCGGTAAAGTTGCATTTTTTTAACGCTTTTGCATTAACGTTTAACTGTGTTTTGCAACAAAAAAACAAAAAACCTTTTGGCTAAAAAACAAATGCTCAAAAACGCTGGTTTGCTGCTATTTACCGCGCTTACCAGCGGTAGAACGTTTTTCCAGCTAAGAAACTCCTCTAGAACCCAATTAGTTCTGGGGATTTTTTCCAGCCAAGAACCTCCCCCTGCCAAAAAAACGCTGATTAAAGCCTGTGTGTGCATGGACACATAGGATAACATGCTGGGGGAGTTTACTGGCTGTAGAAGAAACCGCCAAAAGCCAAAAATAGCAGCTGTGCGCATAAGGACGTATAATGTACGGTATTATGTCTCATCACTGTATTAGTGTCACTAGCGACGCCAGTGTCAGTTAGTGTCCCTCGTAGCCAGTGTCTGTTAGTGTCAGATTGCCCGCCACACTATCACAGTCTCATTATATGTCGCTGATCACCACCTGTTACTAGTATAGTGTCCATAGCTGCTTAAATTACAATATATATACCGTAGTTTGTAGACACTATAACTTTCAAACAAACCGATTAATATACACCTATTAGGAGCTTTCTTTTTTTTTTTCCAAAGACGTAGCAAAATACATTTTGGCCAAAATATATGAAGAAATTTTCAGTCTTTTCTTCATTTATGGAATAAAAAATAAAAAAAACCCAGCAGTGATTAAATACCACCAAAGGAAAGCTCTCTTTTGTGTGAAAAAAATGTATATACATTTCGTTTGGGTGCTGTGTTGCAATCACCAGGTAAAGTAGCACAGTGCTGAATAGCAAAAAAAATGTCCTGCTCATGAAGGGGGTAAAATCCTCCGTAGCTCAAGTGGTTAATGACATCATCTGGGACCCCCTACTGTTTTATTTACATTCTAGCAGCTGGTGAAGTGGTCGATCAGTTTGGTGGTTCAACGAACCACGAATGGGCTAGGTTCAGAATCGGAATTGTTTTCCTACCCGTTTTCAGCAAAGCACCTCAGAGTAAATAAATCTGAAAAAATGCAAATGATGTGTCAATTCACTTCTCACAAACAATTAACAGAATACTACTACTGCTACAAATAATAGTCACATAAAAATAATAATATTTAATAATATTAATAATATTATTTAATATTTATAATTATAATAATAAGCTTTCCCAGTTCCAGTAAATATTATGCTGAAATTTATATCAGGAAAAACAAAGATAATTTGTAACTTCAACATAGAAATTGTCTCCTATATAATGTTACCATCCTGGAATGGAAATCAATTATGTAAAAATTTGTGTTCCATTGCCATCTACTGGTTCAAAAGGAAAAATACAATATACAAATCTGTCTTGCGCTGCGTTTATAAAGGGAAACTATGATGGCGTCGAGTCATTTTTCTTTAAATGTAATTTTTTTTTACATTTCTACATTTTAAATCTGATGTTTTTCTAACTGAATAAAGGATTCCCAGAGCACTATGGATCATCTATAGCTGTTGTTCTCATCTAGGGTTCCGTGGAATCCTAGTGTTCCTCAAGAGGTTGCTGGAGGTTCCTTTAATTGTTGCCGTTTGACCTGTCATCGGATGGTGCCTGGATAGTTGGGGGTCCAATGTCATTTGGCAGAACCAACAACAGCATGACACCAATGATCAGCTTTGGTCTCTTGATGCGGCAACACTTTTAGGCGCTAGCAGCAGCTCTGCATCTATTCGTATGACACCAGTGATCTTTTAAGCTGTCTGAAAGGGTGGAATTCTGACCAGGAGGACCAGGGGGACCACCAAGGTCAATGCATTTTTCCCACTAATCCCCAATAATTTAATTTTAGCAGGGGTTCCATGAGACCTAAAAATTATTTCAAGGGTTCCTTGGAGGTACAAAAGGTTGATCTGTAGAGATGGTGTTGCAGTAGTCTTTAGCTTTTGGCCAAACATAGACTATATTGCCCAAAGTATTGGGCCAATCCTCCAAATCATGTGATTCAGGTGTTCCAATCCCCTCCATGGCCATGCAGACTGCTTCTACAAACATTTGTGAAAGAATGGGTCGCTTTCAGGAGCTTTCAGGTGCTCAGTGACTCCAAGCGTGGTCCCGTGATAGGTTGAGATGAATTAGAGCAGAGACTGCGAGCCAGGCCTTCTCATCCGACATCAGTGCCTGACCTAACAAATGTGCTTCTGGAAGAATGGTCAAACCTTCCCATAGACACCCTCCTAAACCTTGTGGATGGCCTTCCCAGAAGAGTTGAAGCTGTTATAGCTGCAAAGGGCGGGGCCAACTCAATATTGAAACCTATGGACTAAGACTGGGGGGCCATTAAAGGTCATGTGCGTGGAAAGACCAACCTCAGGTGTTTTGGCTGACTGCAGGAGTGAGCCTCTGGTTGCTGAAAGCACCCGCTGGCCAGTCCTGGTACTGCAACCCACAAGGCAGGTGAGTCCCACCACTATTGGCGAGTCCATTCCTGACACCTAGTTTGACATTGTACTGCCCTAGCCTGACACTATACTGATCTCAGTTATGTGTTGTGTGGGGAGGAGGAGCTCTGCTGCCTGTGCCCAGGCTGTGTGCAGTTCAGGGATGGGAGAAGGAGCTGTGCCCCTGTTCTCTGCCCTGCCAGCAGTGATCCCTGTCTTCTACACTGCCAGCAGTGATCCCTGTCCTCCCTGCCCTGCCAGCAATGACCCGTCTTCTACACTGCCAGCAGTGATCCCTGTCCTCTGTCCTGCCAGCAGTGATCCCTGTCCTCTGCCCTGCCAGCAGTGACCCCTGTCCTCTGCCCTGCCAGCAGTGACCCCTGTCCTCTGTCCTGCCAGCAGTGACCCCTGTCCTCTGCCCTGCCAGCAGTGACCCCTGTCCTCTGCCCTGCCAGCAGTGACCCCTGTCCTCTGCCCTGCCAGCAGTGATCCCTGTCCTCTGCCCTGCCAGCAGTGACCCCTGTCCTCTGCCCTGCCAGCAGTGACCCCTGTCCTCTGCCCTGCCAGCAGTGACCCCTGCCTTCCAGCAGTGATTCCTGTCCCCTGCAGCACTGATCCCTGTCTTCTGCCCTGCCAGCAGTGATCCCTGTCTTCTGCCCTGCCAGCAGTGATCCCTGTCCTCCGCCCTGCCAGCAGTGATTCCTGTCCTCCGTCCTGCCAGCAGTGACCCCTGTCCTCTGCTCTGCCAGCAGTGATTCCTGTCCACTGCCCTGCCAGCAGTGATTCCTGTCTTCTACCTGCGAGCACTGACCCCTGTCCTCTGCCCTGCCAGCAGTGACCCTGTAGTCTGTCATGCCAGCACTGACCCCCCCTGTCCTCTACCCTGCCAGCAGTGACCCCTGTCCTCTGCCCTGCCAGCAGTGACCCCTGTCCTCTGCCCTGCCAGCAGTGATCCCTGTCCTCTGTCCTGCCAGCAGTGATCCCTGTCCCCTGTCCTGCCAGCAGTGATCCCTGTCTTCTGTCCTGCCAGCAGTGACCCCTGTCCTCTGCCCTGCCAGCAGTGATCCCTGTCCTCTGCCCTGCCAGCAGTGATCCCTGTCTTCTGTCCTGCCAGCAGTGATCCCTGTCCTCTGCCCTGCCAGCAGTGATCCCTGTCTTCTGTCCTGCCAGCAGTGATCCCTGTCCTCCGCCCTGCCAGCAGTGATTCCTGTCTTCTACCCTGCCAGCACTGACCCCTGTCCTCTGCCCTGCTGACCTTCAATGTTCTTCCCCATTTTTACTGCAACCCTACATTGGACAGGCCAAACCCAGCCCTGATGCCGGGGAGCCTTCCCATGACAGAGGGAGCAATGTCACCGCTCCCCTTAGTGTCTCAGACCAGTCAACGCTGGGGATTCTAGAACCAACTATGATGTAGGAAGGCACAGTGGGAGATCTCTGGCAGGGTGAGTATCATTGGGGGGGACACCTTCATGCAGATACTTTGCCCTGAATGGTAAAGGTGACAGTGTCTCTTTAAAGGAAAGTAATAAAACCATTTTTATCATTGTCATAAATGTTGGTGGCCCAACTGTGTCACCAGGGTTAATAACCAGCTAACAGATAGGACGGTCACTAGAATGTCAAACAGAATTCAGGCAGATGGTCGTAGAGAAAACAGCTGATAGTGTCATCTGGCTAATGTTCTAATACTAAACAGAGAGAGCGCAGACTGGCAATAGTAGAGGTAAGATGCATTTTGGACAATCGCATGAACATTTCAAGGCATGAACAGTCAGATAAAGGTCAGGGTTAGAGAGACCTCTACTCAGGGCATGGGAAGACAGACTAGCCTGTTTACCAGGCTCAGGATGAATGTCCAGCAGACTCCTAAACCCTCCTGATTAGGGCAAGTGTGCGCAGTGAAGATCGGGGCTGCAGTGCTCGATCTTCACCAGCAGATGGTGACGTTTCAATGCCAACAGCTACAAGCGTTAGTTTAAGTGGGATGGCAAACAGATCAACGTAATAAAAAAGTTTGTTGAGTTGACTTTAACACACAAAGGGCCCATAACCAAGGGGTTTATATTTATCCTAGAAAATCCCTTTTAAAACCCTAATAAAGGATGTTGAAGTCAGAGTCGGACAGATCTCTACCCGTGGCATAAGAAGGTAGACTAGCCTGTTGATCAGATTCAGGCTGAATGTCCAGCAGACTCTTAAGCACTCCTGATTAGGTCAGGTGTGCGCTGCAAAGATCTGGGCTGCAGTGCTCAGTAGTGACCAGTAGACTTATTTATTTATTTCAGGTGCTTCTATAGCGCCGTCAATTTACACAGCGCTTTACATATACATTGTGCATTCACATCAGTCCCTAACCCTCAAGGGGCGCACAATCTGAGGTCCCTAACTCCCATCTATAAATACACATACTAGGGCCAATTTCCACAGGAGCCAATTCACCCACCAGCATGTCTTTGAAGTGTGGGAGAAAACCAGAGAACCCAGAGGAAACCCACGCAGGCACAGGGAGAACATGCACACTCCAGGCAGGAGGTACTGTGGCTGGGATTTGAACCCAATAGTTAGTCTGGCTGAAAAAAGACAAAAGTCCATCCAGTTCAACCATTAAAAAAAAAAAAAAGTTATAATCCTACACCCACAGTTGATCCAGAGGAAGGCAAAAAATCCTGCAAAGCATGATCCAATTTTCTCCTGCAGGCCAAAAAAGGCAATTGGGTATTCCCTGGATCAACTTGTTAAATGTTAGTATCCAGTTATATTCTGTGTATCTAAGAAAGAATCCAGGACTTTTTTAAAGCAATCCACTGAGCTGGCCACAACCAACTCTTGAGGGAGTCTGTTCAACATTTTCACAGCTCTTACTGTGAAGAAACCTTTCCATGTTTGGAGATTACATTTCTTTTCCTCCAGACATAAAGACCAACAAGCCTAGTACTGCCAGGCGGTGGTGCTAACCATTTAGCCTCTGTGCTGCCCTTGTGTGTGTTTTTTTTTTTTGTCATTGATTCGTTTTTCAGAGGAAAATTTCATTTTCGGAGATTCAAATATATTCAAATTTCTGAATGGGCATAGAAATGAATGGGAATGAATCCGAAAAAAAAGTTATGAATGCATTCATTTCATTGGGATGATGCCACATATTCTAATTTGTTTGATAATGATCCGAATTCATTGCTATTAGCTGGTTGTTAAGGAGCAGGCGGCTGCTGCGTCCTTGACAACCATGCCTCACCTTTCATCTGGATTCCTGCCACTGTGAAACTAATTCTGAAGAAACGGATCCCAAAAACGGATCAGACCGACGCAACAAATACAAGGAAACAAAAAAGCAACCTAATGAATGCATCCGAAACAAAAACAAAATTTTCCGCTGTGCACATGTCTACTGACCAGCAGATGGCGAAGTCCCAAGGCTAACAGCTTCAATCATTAGTTCATCAGACAGGAGGGAGGCGGGAAATAGACAGGACTTTTCTTCTCAAAGAATAGGTGCAGGAACTCCCCGCCTTTTCCCTTGTTTCCGCCCCCTACCCACCCCTGAGCACTCTCGACTTTGGGTCCACCTCCTACCCACCTCCCAGTACCGCCCCTTATAGAGAATACAGAACCCAGTATCATTTTGTGGCGCTAAGTAATTTGTATGTAATGTGCTCATGAAAACAAGAAAAGCAGTAAACTACGGTAGATCCCCTGTAGCCAGCAACAATAGATCCCCAACACAACAATAGACACCCACCCCCGCAACAATGGACCCCCACACCACCCCAGCAACAATAGATCCACCCCCTGGCAATCAGATCTCCCAGCAGCCAGCAACAATAGACTCCTCCCTCAACAGGAGATCCCTCCCAGCAACAATGTCCCCAGCAATATAAGACCCCCCCAGCAACAATAGACCCCCCCCCGCAACAACGAACATCCCCCCCACAACAAAATACCACTCCAGCAAAAATAGATCCAGCAATCATAGACCCCCCCCCCCCGCAGCAAAAACAGATCTCTCAGCAGCCAGCAACAATAGACTCCACCCTCAACACGAGATCCCTCCCAGCAACAATGTCCCCAGCAATACAAGACACCCCCCAGCAACAATAGACCCCCTGCAACAACGAACCCCCCCACAACAAAATACCGCTCCAGCAAAAATAGAGATCCACCCCAGCAATCATAGACCCCCCAGCAGCAAAAACAGATCTCTCAGCAGCCAGCAACAATAGACTCCACCCTCAACAGGAGATCCCTCCCAGCAACAATATCCTCAGCAATATAAGGCCCCCCAGCAACAATAGACCCCCCGCAACAACGAACCCCCCCCACAACAAAATACCACTTCAGCAAAAATAGATCCACCCCAGCAATCATAGACCCCCAGCAGCAAAAACAGATCTCTCAGCTGAAAGCAATAATAGACTCCACCCTCAACAGGAGATCCCTCCCAGCAACAATATCCCCAGCAATATAAGACCCCCCACAACAACGAACCCCCCCCCCACAATAAAATACCACTTCAGCAAAAATAGATCCACCCCAGCAATCATAGACCCCCCAGCAGCAAAAACAGATCTCTCAGCTGAAAGCAATATTAGACTCCACCCTCAACAGGAGATCCCTCCCAGAAACAATATCCCCAGCAATATAAGCCCCCCCAGCAACAACCCCCCCCCGAACAACCCCCCCCACAATAAAATACCACCCCAGCAATCATAGACCCCCCAGCAGCAAAAATAGATCTCTCAATAGCCAGCAACAATAGACTCCTGCCTCAACAGGAGGTCTCTCCCAGCAACTGACCCCCCAGAAACTAAAGACCGCATCCAGCAACAGTAGACCCCCATGAAAATAGGCCCTCCAGCACACCCCAGATCCCCTTTCCATTACATACATTCAATGCTGGAGGTGCCTGAACTCCAGCAACAATAGACCCCCCCCCCACAACAACGAACCCCCCCCCCCACAATAAAATACCACTCCAGCAAAAATAGATCCACCCCAGCAATCATAGACCCCCCAGCAGCAAAAACAGATCTCTCAGCAGCAAGCAACAATAGACTCCTGCCTCAACAGGAGGTCTCTCCCAGCAACTGACCCCCCAGAAACAAAAGACCGCATCCAGCAACAATAGACCCCCATGAAAATAGGCCCTCCAGCACACCCCAGACCCCCTTTCCATTACATACATTCAATGCTGGAGGTGCCTGAACTGCGTTCCCCCCGAGTTCCTGCTGAAAAAAAGACCCGGAACCAGGGGCAGACTGACAACTCATGGGCCCCCCGGGCATTAGGGGATTAGGAGGCCCCTGTGTCCTCACCCACACTCAAACCACACCCAAAAAAGCCTATGAAAGGTGTACCAGGTACATCTCATGGGGCCCCCTACTGACCCCGGGCCCTCAGTCAGTCTGCCGCTGCCCGGAACTAAAAAACTTTAGGAAAATGCATTAGATCCGTTCCAGCATACAGAAGGTTCATAAAAAAAATTATAATCTTCCTGGAAGTTCCCTGCTGATAAATGCCTGATGAAGGAAGTTGAAGTGAAAGTCCTCTAGATCTCTACCCAGAGCATTCGAAGACTAACCAGTTAATCACAAAGGCTGTGGAAGAGGAACGTTGGACACAGATTTATGCCGGTTATCAAAATGTGAACAAAGACAACTTGAACCCCAATTGCCTTGTACTCCTCAACTCATCGCAAAAACAGGGATCCCTCAGGAGAGGACATTGAGATACCAAGTGTAATAGGTCAAAGAGAGCACCAATGAAGAGGAGTACAACGTTTTTATTGTTGTACTGGTTACAACAATACGAATGTACCCACATGGAAGAAAAATATATATTGAAATATATTTTACAAATATTCTTCCCAAATATATGACATATAATTGAAATGCTAAAATTTTGGCCATATTATTATTATTACATCGAGTTTATATAGCGCCAAAGGGTTTGCTCAGCGCTTACAATATAGGGCCATATTCAATATATTTCAAAATATATTTCAGTAAATATATGAATATATATACAGTTGTGTTGAAAATAATAGCAGTCAGACATCACTAACCGGATCAATCACTGTTTTTGGTGGAAATGATATTTCTACATGGCAAATAATTTCCTAGCAGGTGTAGTAGAGTAATAGAAATCCAACAGACCCAACAGTCATGACATGCATGCTGCTGATTCTGTGTCATTGAATCACTCATTGAAAGGGGCGTGTTCAAAATAATAGCAGTGTGGAGTTCTATTAGTGAGGTCATTCATTCTTTGAAAAACAGGTGGCAATTATTGCCCTTATTTAAGGAAGGAAGGCAGCAAATGTTGGACATGCTGGTTACAGTGCATTTCTCTCTGAAA